TTTTTGGTTGTAGCCATCTTTGTTGTTTGGCAGGCCTGGGCTGGATTCAAACCCGCCACCTTAGGTGTATGTGGCTGGCACCTTAGCCACCTGAGCCACAGGCACCAAGCCTCAAACCATAGTTTTTATAAATTTAAACATTTTTTCTTAATTTTGGTATGTAGATGGACAGTTTCTTGGTGTGTGAAAGATAGTAAAGAAATATAATTGATTTGCTGATCTTTTTTTAAATAATTGTAGCCTGAAAAATTTGAAGTATAAAAAGTAGACATGCAGATAAATGTATAAAGGTCCAGTGGTCATGTAAAAACCACAACGAAATGGAAAAGAATAGGAATTTGAAGCGAAAGATACAGGATAAAAGTCCTACTTGTACCACTTTCTAGCTATGTGAAATAATCTGTTAAATTCTAAGGGGATTAGTTTTTCTCATCTGTGCCATTATAGGATTGGTCTATATTATTTTAAAGCAACTTTTATAAAAATCGTTTTAAAAATTGCTGCCCTGTAAGAAAAAACAATGGAAATCGTGAATTTCTGTAAGGATTGTGATAACCCTGTTTTAACACTGTGATGACCAAGGATAGTTTTTTCTTTTCTAGAAACTTGGTGAGCGCTGGATGGCGGTGTGCCGTTGGACTGAAGAGCGCTGGAATAGATTACAAGAAATCAATATGTTGTGGCAGGAATTATTGGAAGAACAGGTATGAACGTGTTATTCAGAAGAGGAAAAATAAATAGTGAAAAGTAACCTATGTTTTATTGTGGCATCAGAATGCCGTTACCTTCTTTAGTTTTCTTTGAAAGGAGAATATACAAATACTTGCTTCTTTAAGAATCAGATTTATGCCCATTTTATAACTGATCATACAGCTTATTTATAGGGATCACATCATATGACTCCATTGTAATCAAACTTAATTTGATCTGTGCTCATCATTTAGAATGTTAGCACTTCCATGATTTGTTTGACGTTACAGTTACTACTGGCTTTATGTTAGGTAATGTGTACAAATTTGCATCAGCACAATTCCTACCATATGGTTTATGTTCAGTCAACAATGTATAAATGAATCTACTCAATACATTGTGAACCTTGAACCACAGGAATTTTTCTTGATATTTTTAACCACAATAAGGGCTGAAATTAATGGGAAAATTAATTGACATTAATTGTCAATTAATTAATTGACACCTGTGATTGAGCACTTGATTAAGAGCGTATTTTTTCCACTAAGGATTAACTGATGGCATGAAGCTCCCACCTTAAGTTTTTAGAGAGTGGTGGCCCATTTCCCACCCTTCATCCTTCCAGAAGAGCAACCAACCAAACGAAATAGAACGAAGCAAAACTTTTCTCCCCAAATGCCAAACAGTGTGGTTTAGAAAATAAGCAGGTACTCTATTCCCACATCTCAGAGTGTCCATGTTGATTCTTTTAAATACATTTCATTTCCATCCACAAAAAACAACTGTATTCTTTTTAGGGGGAAAAAAACCCCAAGCATATGATGTTTTGTGGTTTACTAAATATGGTGGCAGATAGTACATCTTAAAAGGTAGGTTGCAGAATTTGTCCAAATAAAAATTGTTAATCACTACTCCCCCCCTCCCCCCCAAAAAAGCTTCGGTCATAATTTTCTTATTAAGAAGCACGTGATGGGCCTGATTCTGATTTCCAGTATATTTACATTTCACTTTATGAGTATTTACATGTACTTGGAACCTTCTATTCAAGGCCAGAGAATCTCATGGAATAGTTAACATTTTATTTGAATAATGACAACAGGAGACACTGATTACCCGGGAAAACTATTGTGTTATTCTACCCAGTAAAATAATTTCAAATTTGGGAATAGCTTTACTTTGATAATTTTAAAAGATACTAAGAAATAGGAAGTGGCTGCTATTTTGATCACTTGTATTACTTTAGCTTCTAGACTGACCTTTGAATCATGTTCTATTAGTGATCTGGCATTTTGGCTGTATCTCTGCGCGTGTGTGTCTCTGTATGTGTGTGTGTGTGTGTGTGTGTGTGTGCACGTGCATCTGTGTGTGTCTCTGTATGTGTGTGCATGGTGTTTGTCCTTTCTATCTCGTGCCACAGTTATTTATTTGCATATCTTATGAGCCTTACTAGACTGAGGGCAGGATCCCTATCTGTCTTTAAGTTCTCTAATCTTCATTCTTTTTGAGAGGGTCAAATATAGAGGTGAGAAATAGTTGTTAAATTGATCAAGGCTGGGTGTGATAACTCACATTTGTACTCCTAGCCCTCTGGGAGGCCGAGATGGGTGGATTGCCTGAGCTCAGGAGTTTGAGATCAGCCTGAGCAAGAGGGAGACCCCGTCTAAAAATAGCTGGGTATTGTGGAGGCGCATGTAGCCCAGGCTCCTCAGGAGACTTAGGAAAGAGTATCCCTTGAGCCCAGAAGTTTGAGGTTGTTGTGCACTATGATGCCATGGCACCCTACCCAGGGTGACAGATTAAATTAATTATTATTTAAATAAATAAATAAATAAATAAAACAAACAAGTGAGGAAGAATCAATCCCATTGCAAATAGAGAAACAAGATGTTTCCTCCCAGCTATATAGAAAAGGGTTTCTGTGGTAGATGGTACAGTTTGGGAAGAATGATCTCAATACCGCACACTCGTTTTCCATCTCCTCTTCAGCGTTATCTCTATTCCTTATTAAATATCTTATGCTCAAAAAACATTGGCCAGTGAAGTTTAAAAATCTTTATATTGGCTTTGGGCCATTCTCAGGCTTCCTTGTTAAATCACAGCTGCTGTTGTACCTTGAACGTTAGTCTGATTTCCTGCATGACGGGATGGAGAGACCGTACATTTTGGGCTGGGTCCCAGACCCTGCTCTGCTATTAACTAGTCAAGTGATCTTGGACATGTAACTTGACTTTTCTCTTTTTCCTCCTCAATTGAGGGGGTGGAACAAGACAATTTCTTAGCTTCCTTCTGCCTCTAGAGAATTATAATATGATTTTTGGGGAGACTTTTGGATAGTTGGATTTAGCCTTTCCCTTCTGCTTACCTCTTGGGAATTATACAGGTTTAGTTACAGGTATCAGGCTAATATCAGGTTGATCTGTTGTAAATGGATAATATTAATATTATAAAGATGGATAATATTAATATTTTAAAGACAGGTGTTTGAAGTCCTTGTTACCCCCAGAAAAGGGGAAACCTCTATTTAAAAAAAGTTAGCGATTGGGAACCTTGATTGAATTGCCAACCTGTGATTCTGCAGATGTATTTTTAACTTTTGTTATTACCTGCAGTGTTTGTTAAAAGCTTGGTTAACCGAAAAAGAAGAAGCTTTAAATAAAATCCAGACAAGCAACTTCAAAGACCAAAAGGAACTGAGTGTCAGTGTTCGACGTCTAGCTGTAAGTAAGAGTAATGCAATGGTTTGCAAGCCTGTGTTATCTTGGTATTTTATATCGATGGTTAATACAGTTTAGTGAATACAGACTCATTACCCAATACTAGACTGCATGATTTGGAACCAGGAGTCTTTCGTTGAGCACAGTGAACTTCAACACACGTTAATTTTACTGTAAAACACACGTTTACATTTTTTATCTGGGATAATAAAGTCCCTGCTAGTGGAGAGTTATCTAATAAATATCTGAAATACTAGATTTTGAAGGAAGATATGGAAATGAAGCGTCAAACATTGGATCAACTGAGTGAGATCGGCCAGGATGTGAGTCAGTTACTTGACAGTCCCAAGGCATCCAAGAAGATCAACAGTGACTCAGAGGAACTGACTCAAAGATGGGATTCTTTGGTTCAGAGACTAGAAGATTCCTCCAACCAGGTACCTCTTGATCTGGATAGTATGTTGTGTCATTAAGTAAACATTTACATTTGAATGTTCAGGTTTATTTTAGTTTTTATGACATAACATATTAGGTGAACTTAAAAGCTGATTTTTTTATACCTGATGAAATATTGGCACATGAAAATCTTCTCCCTGGGTTTTTTAAAGTAAATTTTAATAGATCATCAAAAAAGAAAACTATTATAATATCCAGTAATTTAATTTATAGTAACTGATAACACTTAGACAGATATCTGATAAATAATGTTAAAATCTTACATGATCTTATTGATCTTAAAACTGTTTTAATTAGTGGATCAAAAATAAAACTTTGGTTTGTACATGAATGTTCATGGCAGCATTATTTATAATAGCCCTAAAATTAGAGCAACTTAAATGTACGTCAACAGATGAATGGACGAAACAAAATACGGTGTATCCATATAATGCAGTATTACTTCACAATAAAAAAGAATGAAGAGTTGACACATGCACATATTTCTAACTTTTGTTGTTACCTGCAGTGTTTGTTAAAAGCTTGGTTAACTGAAAAAGAAGAAGCTTTAAATAAAATCCAGACAAGCAACTTCAAAGACGAAATATCTATAAAACAGTAAAATGCTTAATTGTTTTGTTGTTTATGTTTATCTGAAAATTTCCATAGACATTCTCCATAAATTAGCAACAGAATATTATAAGCATCAGAAATTCTAAATAAATAAATAATTTATTTATTAATTAACATGGATGAACTATTATAATTAACTTCATTATAATTAACATGGGTGAACCTTGAAATGGCTATGCTAAGTAAAAGAAGCCAGTTATGAGATTACACACACTGTGATTCTTATATGAAATGTTCAGAATATGCAAATCCATAGAGACAAGTGGCTTAGTGGTTGTCAGGTCTATGGGAAGTGGGGACTGAGGTGTGGGATTTCTTTTTGGGATAGGATTTCTTTTGGGAATGGTAAAGAGTGGGGGGTGATTATACAGCTCCCTGGATAGACCACTGAAGTGTACATTTGAAGGAACCATTGAAGTGTACATTTCAAAGGGAGAATGTTGTAGCATATGAATTATATCTCAGGAAAGCTATTATAGAAATTTGAATATTGAGTGATTTTTATTTCAGGTGACTCAGGCAGTAGCAAAACTGGGAATGTCTCAGATTCCTCAGAAGGATCTTTTGGAGACGGTTCATGTAAGGGAACAAGTGATTACAAAGAAGTCCAAGCAAGAACTGCCTCCTCCTCCTCCTCCAAAGAAGAGACAGATCCATGTGGATATGGAAGCTAAGAAAAAGTGAGCACAGAGACATTTTTCAAAATCCATACTGCACATAATGTATTTGATACTTGCTTCTTGTTTTGTGCTATTGCTAATCATATGCAAATTGAGACATAATTAGTATTATGGAAATTCAGCTACTGAACTACACTGCCCCTGAGTTTCTGAATGTATATATATATATTCTTTTTTCTTCACACTAGCTAAGCATCTCAGTTGTCTTGGATGATTTTATTTATCCCGTATTCACTTTGAAGATGCGTGTGGCTGACCCCTTTTTTCTTCCCTTCCCTTCATTCACCTTGTCTATGACTATTTATTCTTTTACCAACCACAACTCTGACAATTTTGCTTTAGGTAGACATCCTCATTCTTTGTGAATCCACTTCATCCTCTCACCACTAAAAAGCACTTAATTCAGGGAAATGATTCACTTGAATTAATTAATTAATTGAGACAGAGTCTCACTTTGTCTCCTTGGTAGAAAGCCATGGCATCATCATAGCTCACAGCAACCTCAAACTCTTGGGTTCAAGGATCCTCTTGCCTCCAGACTGGCACCAGCCACTATGCCTGGCTAATTGTTCTGTTTTTATAGAGATGGGGCTTGCTTTTGCTAAGGCTAGTGTTGAACTCCTGAGCTCAGGCAGACCCACCCACCTTGGTCTCCCAGAGGGCTAGGATTACAGGTGTGAACCACCACCCTGGCCAGTAATTCAATTTTAGTCTCCTCCCCCCTTCCATTCTTTTTCATGTTTTCTTATTTCTGTTATTAATTTCTTGGTCAGGTTCATTAGCATATTCTTCTGGCTTGGCTTAAAGACCTATCTTTAGCATAAAATGTTACTTTTCATCTTGTTGATTCAAAAGAAAACACAGGATCTTTATAAGAAGTGTAATTACAGCTGACATATATTGAGCTTTTAGAAATTCTATTAAGCTATACAATGTCCTATGTACTATACCTTGCATGTGTATAATAGATAATCCTCAAAATAGCCCTTGAAAGAAGCTATTCTCTTGCTTTTCCAATAGAATCCCAGTGCTTGGGTAAACAAGCAATTATTTTGAGCCTGAATAAAAATGATATGCTTTACCTAATTTAGCTTATGTTGGACAAAGCAAGATTCCACTTTTACCAGATGTTGTTATTGTGATAACAAGCCTATGTTTCTGCCTCCTAATGGCTTCTCCTTGTAGGACCAGTGTGCCTCTGAGGGGCAAGCAGCAGTGGTCAGATGTTTACTTTTGGAGAAAGACGCTTCTGATGTTAGTATTAGGATAGATTTCACATTTCCTCAGTGCATAATACCTGCCGGGTATGTCTGGCTGTGCATCTTTCTAGGGCTGACTTTCTGCATTTGGAAGCACAGGAGGTTGTAAACGACTAGGTGCATAACTGTGAAGTCTTTGTTTAAATTTGACTGTATTGTATGGGGTGCATTCTGCTGCCAGAAACCTAATGCCATCCCCAACGTGACTTAAACAATGAGGTCACTGATGATATTACATTACCAGAAGTCCGGAGGTAGGGCAGTTTTAATGGAAGGTGTGGTTAGTAACCCTCCATCTGTGGTCTTTCTCATCCTTGGATGTTGGCTTTCACCTTCAGCTTTGCCTTCTCAGCAAATTTCCCCCTGGTCTCACTGGCCAGGATTTAGTCACTTGCTCATGCCCTGGGTACAAAGGAGGTTGAAACTGTCTAACCTTTTTTTTTTTTTCAGTCTGTGCAGTTGTGTTTTAGGGGACTCAAACAGCGAGGAGGAAGTGTGGACAGGAGGTATCTATGGGTTGGCAACCAGCTGTGGGGGCCATAGTCATCACCTCCATGACTTGAATTATGCAGACATTTTTTCCAGTTAATTCTTGAACAGATAGAGGCTTGAGTTCATCCAGTTCACTATGGTTAAATCTCTTTGTGACACAAGTTATTTTTATGTCCAAATTCTGCCTCTCTAACTCCATCCATGTGTGCTAGCTCTTTCTGGAGTGATACAGAGTCCTGTATACCTCTTCAATCTGTGGTCTGCCCAACCTTTGAAGATAACTTTACATTCTGATTTTTGGATTCGTAAAGTTCAGAGTATCCTTCCCCTTTCCTGGTGTGACATGGTTTCCAGACTGATTCATATCTTCAGTCTGCTATAGAAACCACTATTAGCTTGTCTTAAAATAGACTGTCCTAACAGTTGAGGGCCTTGAACAACTGCTTAGTGCATGGCCCAACTTTAATGGTGGGCAATTTATGTGGTTAAAAAATGGCAGCTTATTCCTTCTTCTCTTCCCTGAGTGTTACTGGTGGCTGTTTTTGCCAGCTCAGGGCATCGTGGGGCAGCCATTTCTTAGAATGTGAGTATCTATTACTGTAGCCCAAGATAGCACATCATTCTTGCTCATATTGAAAGCAGAATTTTACTGAGTCTCTCTGATGATTTTAAATGTGTGATCTCTGTAGAGCCTCCCCTTCTCTGAATGACTAAACAGAACTCTGCCATTAAACAGGAACGTACCCCTGTTTGAGTGTCAGCTCGGTCCCTGGTTATTTGCTTAGAGGATCATACAATACTTTACATGTTGCAAGAAAAGTTTACCTTGATGAAAAGACAACTATTCATAACTCAGTTTAAATGAAATTTCCCCCAAGAATCAGCAGTAACAACTTGCATTCCTGCTTCAAGTGCTGAGGAGCTCAGTGGGGAGGATATAGGCTCAGAGGACAGTCCATCACGGTTTGAACGCCAGCTCTACCATTTGTTGATTCTGTGGCACGGAGCATTTAATTAAAACCTCTATGAGCTCAAATTACTTCATCTCGACAAGGGATAATAATAGTATATACATCACAGGATAGTTGGGAGGATTCCTTGGGTGAATAAAGCCCATAAAACCCTTAGGAAGGCGTCGGGCATGTGGCGGCTGTCAGTGCCTGTCTCCTCCCTGGCTCTCTTGGCTGTGGTTTTGACCTACCTTCTTAAGACCTCTCAAGCCTGCCCACTTGTCTTCCTTCCTATCATCGCTATCTTAGTTCTGGCTCTTGTTGCTGCAACAGCCATTTCTCTGCTCCTGCCTCTCTTTCCCGCCTTCTCCTCGGTGAGCATGGTAAACAGAATCATGTCAGTCCCATGCTTCAGACCCTCTCTTGGCCCTGAGCTGGCCTTTTAGTAAGTCCAAACTCCTTAATATAACGTCCTGCAGGGCCTTCCCGTAACTGGCCTGTGTGATGCTTGGCCACCCTGTCAGTTGTCCCTCCCTGCAAGTATTATACGATACTCACTGTTCCACATGCACCTAACTACTTGTAGTTTGTAAAATGTGATCTTCCCTCTCCACACCCTCCTTGGCTAGGAAAATGCCCAAGTGCCAGGCTGTCATTCTCCTTTAGGGAACCACCCTTCCCTGATTGGATTAGTTGCTATTCCTGTGAATTCCTGGAATTACCACTTAGCAAATTTCCACTGCTACTAGACTGAAGGCTCCTTGAAGTCTGAGATTTGTGTCTGCTTCACCTTCATATCAGCAGCTTAGCCCACTGCCTGCATATGGTAAGGGGCTCAAGCGTGACGCAGTGAACCCAAGACGGCGTTAACCATAGTAATGTCTATACTAGTTCTGTCTTATCTAGCCAATCTGGTTTCATTACTTGGAAGAGTTCATACAAATACAAGTGATTCTTAAGAGGTTAATCATTTTTCTAAAATATTTGAAGTTTTAAAATATTTTATTTATTTTCTTCAATCATTTATTGACACTGTGTCACATTCTTATTCCCTTCATATTTTTAATTGTAAATGTGTGGTCTTATTTTGCATGGTTACTATATTTTGGGGAAGTGTTTAAAAACACATGCTTTGTGGGCGGCACCTGTGGCTCAAGGAGTAGGGCGCCGGCCCCATATGCCGAGGGTGGCAGGTTCAAACCCAGCCCCGGCCAGAAAACTGAAAACAAACAAACAAACCCAAAAAACAAGAAACAAACACATGCTTGGTGAGTATTGGGGTTGCTCCGTCTTGAGGAGCCAGGTAAAACAATGGAAGAAAACAAATGACAGATAGTAACATTTGAATCTTATATTAGGTTTGATGCTATAAGTTCAGAGCTGTTGAACTGGATTTTGAAATCAAAGACTGCCATTCAGACCACAGAGATAAAAGAGTACAAGAAGATGCAGGAGACCTCAGAAGCGAGAAAGAAACTGAAGGTAAAACATAAACCAAAAGTATCCTAGGGCATCAAATATTTCATCTCCTTAGATTTATCTGTTGGCCTGGAGATGGTGAGGGTTCCAAAGGCTTTCTGTAAAATAAATGCAAGCATTAGGTAGCTTTTAGAACATTGTAGTAAATTCTGAATGCATCCACGCTAGCTGTCATCACATTCCTATTTGGAGAAAAGATTTTCCCCTCTTTTTTCCTCCTCAACCATTGAGGTGTTCAGTAGGGATCACTTCCTGGAGTGAGTCCATAATTTTTACTATTTTTTAGCTTGTTGAGATCTACTTTAATCAGATACCTAATAATTTATGAGTTTGTGTAAACGTGCTAAGATGTTTTGCCTTCCAAATAAAATTAACTATTGGAAATTTCAAAATGTTTTCGGTATATCCTCTTTAAAGAAGGGACATAGTTTTTTTTTTTTTAATAAATACTATTAAAGTGCTATTTTGCACCCTTATATGTGCATTACTGAAAAGTGTGATGGGCATTTGCAATGTTTTATTGTTCCTGGTGCTCATACATCCCTCTACATGTCACTTGCATTGACAATTTGGGCACCTGATATAAGTCTGTAGAAGCTTCTGTGTCAGTCAGGGAGTCTGTTTTTGTTTTTAAAGAGTTTGGAGGATATTTAAAAACGATGTGTGCATAAATATCTAAGGTAGTGATTTTCGTTTTTTTTTTTTTTTTTTTTTAAGATAGAGTTTTGCTATGTCACCCTCAGTAGAGTGCAATGGCGTCACAGCTCAGGCAACCTCGAACTCTTGGGCTTAAGGGATTCTCTTGCCTCAACCTTGAGCTGAGACTACAGGCACCTGCCACAATGCCCGGGCATTTTTTTGTTGTGGTTGTCACTGTTGTTTAGCAGGCTCAGGCTGGTTTGAACCGCCAGCCTCCGTGTATGTGGCTGGCGCCCTACCCACTTAGCTATGGGTACCGACCCCCCTAAGGCAGTGACTTTCAACCAGTGTGCCTGGGTGCAGGTGTGCCATTAGAGAATCTTAGGTGTACTGGGAAAAATTTTAAAGATCTTTGATTAGTTTTGAAAGTTCAGAGCACATTCAATTTTTTTTGTCTCTTTGTTTTGATCAACATAATTTACATGTGCAGTGGAAGTTTAACTGTAGGTTCAAGTGTGCTGTGAGATAAGTGTTAGGCAACACAGGAATTGAGAGAAGGCCAGGACTACAGGGTGTCTCTGTACGATAGTGAAGTTCAGAGGATGACGCGGCCTGAGCCGGCACCTGCAGGACGGTATGTGGGGCACAGCTGAACAGGACATCCGTGAGCAGAGGCCCCCAGGTGGGCAAGCGTCTCGGGAGTGCTGGAACCACGGCTGCATCCTGCATGTGTATACATATCGTGCAAGGCGTACATATAAAAGTGGAAGTTTCAGCTTTAGAGCGGGGTGGGCAGTCTGACACAGACCCTGACCCGCGATGAGTGTGTGCATGGCAGTTGGGTTTCCTCCTCTCATGCCATTGTAGCTGCTCTTATTCAGGTCATCACTGACTGACCGTGTTCAGATCATCACTGACCGTTCGGTTTCCAAATCCAAAGAATGTATTTCTGTTGTCATCAGACCCGCGCTCTCTGCATTTCTCAGCCTTCAGCGTCACAGTCTGTGATGATCTTTCTCTACTGTAAATGTGATCGGGCGGCTGCCGGGCTTAAGGTCCAGTGGGACTCTGCAGCGCTTCTAGTGTATGCGGGCCTCCAGAGGGTGCTCTTCCCTCCCTCTACCAGACTCCGCAGCCCCCATGTACACGGGCCTCCAAAGAGTGCTCTTCCCTCCCTCTACCGGACTTCGCAGCGCCCCCAGTGTACACGGGCCTCCAGAGGGTGCTCTTCCCTCCCTCTACCAGACTCCGCAGCCCCCATGTACGCGGGCCTCTAGAGGGTGCTCTTCCCTCCCTCTACCGGACCCCGCAGCACCCCTAGTGTACACGGGCCTCCAGAGAGTGCTCTTCCCTCCCTGTACGGGACCCCGCAGCACCCCTAGTGTACACGGGCCTCCAGAGGGTGCTCTTCCCTCCCTGTACGGGACCCCGCAGCACCCCTAGTGTACACGGGCCTCTAGAGGGTGCTCTTCCCTCCCTCTACCGGACTTCGCAGCCCCCATGTACGCGGGCCTCTAGAGGGTGCTCTTCCCTCCCTCTACCGGACTTCGCAGCGCCCCCAGTGTACACGGGCCTCCAGAGGGTGCTCTTGACTTCCTCTACCAGACTCCGCAGCCCCCATGTACACCGGCCTCCAGAGAGTGCTCTTCCCTCCCTCTACCGGACTCCGCAGCACCCCTAGTGTACAGGGGCCTCCAGAGGGCGCTCTTCCCTCCCTCTATGGGACTCTGCAGCGCCCCACATTGACGGGCCTCCAGAGGGCGTTCTTCCCTCCCTGTACTGCAGCCCTCTCACTTCCCACACGCAGCTGTTCCCTGAGCGCCAGTGCCCCTACTCTAGCTCTTGTCTTACTCTGCTTCCTGTGTTTACTAGGGACTATTTTCCTTGTCCCGCATAGTTCTCCATTCAGCCCACTTTGCTGTGTGGCTGAAATGCCTCCTCCTACAGGAAGCCCCTCTTAGTCTCCCTAAAAGAGTTAATGATCTTTTGACTTCCATATGGCTTTGCCATACCTCCCTGCAAGCCCTGGAATCTATGCCTGCCTGTGAGGGCTTAGAAATCAGGGGTAGGCCAGGCACGACTGCGCATGCCTATCATCCTAGCACTCGAGGAGGCCAAGGCGGAAAGATCCCTTGAGGTCAGGAGTTCCAGACCAGTCTGAGCAAGAGTGAGCCCCCTTCTCTGCAAAGAATATTGAAATTAGCCCGGTGTTGTGGTGAGCGCCTATAATCCCAGCTACTTGGGAGGCTGAGGCAGGGAGATTGCTTGAGCTCACGAGTTTAAGGTTGCAGAGACCTATGATGATGACACTGCACTCCAGCTGGGGTGATGATAATTTTTCATTGTTTTCGCTGAGCCTTGTAGTTTCAGCACTTGGTAAAGCTCTTGGCTCATGAAAGGGTGATAATTGTGAGTGGGCAGGGGCATGGGGAAGGTGGTTGAGCTTTATCAGAGCCCTCTGCACAGAGTTTGGAGAGCCAGAAATCAGACCCATATCATATCATTTCATATGTCTTACTATTTTGATCATCAAACAACACAGTTCTTAAAGACATTCAGGTGGCAGAGAATTTAGTAGTTATAGTGATCTTCGTGGAGCAAGTTCCACAAAATAATGATACAATAAAGTCCATCCTATGATCCAGGAACAATTTTATGGCAGAAACTGTTACTATGACATTTGAGGGGATTAAAACAATTTTATGGCAGAAACTGTTACTATGACATTTGAGGGGATTAAAACCACAGTTATTATGACATTTGATGGTATGTAAGGCAGGATTGGAAGTTCCTATGTGTTTCATTTAATATCTATCTATAAGTTTATTTTGTTGTTTCAGACAAATATTAATATATGCCAAAGGGTTGGAAAAAGTGTAAAAAAAGAACATTTAATCATTACCCTAATCCTTCTTTTTAAATTGCAAATTGGGCAAAGATTCAGCTTAATTTTTCTTTATTGAAGTAATAGCTCATTCCAAGGTCTGAATTACCTAGATGGACAATCTGTAGTCTAGTCTCCAGCCACTGTAAGAAGTAGCAAAAAAAATAAGTTTGTAAAAAGCAAATGATTATTTTTTCTCCAGTTTAATGGTGTCTTTTTTACATCGATCCTTAAATAAAATTAAATGTTGTTCCTTAGAATTCCTTGCTAATATTTTCTGGTCTTTGATTATAAAAATGGTTATTCTACCTCATCACATTCAAATTTGTAAAGATCAAAATGGGATGGTTAAATTTATTTGATAGTGCTTACATGTAAAGAATTTAGAAGTGGGATTCTTCTCTGGATTGACTCCTCGGAGTAATATGGGTCGCCTAGAAGTTTTGATTGTGTTATGATACTATTTGAATATTTAGCTAATATATAAGTATCAATTGGGGATAGGGGAACAGGAGGAATTTCAACTACTGAGTTGTATGCCTGTATATGTGTGTGTGTGTTTATAATTTTGCTCATCCTATTCTTACTAGTCCTGACAAGACTTTTGAGAATATCAAACTGTAGAGATAAAAGTATTAAAATTAAAATTATAAGACACTCTGGCGGTGCCTGTAGTTCAGTGGGTAGGGTCCTGGCCACATACACTGAGGCTGGCAGGTTCTAACCCAGCCCCCAGAGCCAAGCTGAAACAACAGTGACAACTGCAACAACAACAACAACAACAACAACAACAACAAAAAATAGCTGTGTTGTGGCAAGTGCCTATAGTCCCAGCTACTTGGGAGGCTGAGGCAAGACAATTGCTTAACCCCAAGAGGTGGAGGTTACTGTGAGCTGGGACACCACAGCACTCTATTCAGGGAGACAGCTTGAGATTCTGTTTCAAAAAAAAAAAAAAGAAAAATTACAAGACCCTCCGCAGGCATAAGGAGCAAAACACTAAGATTTGAGTTTTTAAGGATATTTTCATCATCTAAAAATTATGTAAGAAATATGACTGTTGTTGAATTTATATTAGACCCTAGCTTAATATAACACCAACAAATAATTCTGAGTCTGAAAAGATTTCCATCTCTTTTTTCTTGTTAATTAATTTTTGTTCATGGATCTCTGTTGTTTTGACTCAAAGCATTATTTTTTGTGGTGTCGCATACTCTGGGCTATGTAGGTAAATAGTTATCCTGGATCTAAAGCATAATTTTGATTATTTCTTCTTGATAGGAGCTCATAATTCTAGTGTACTTTTTCTTTTGTTATAAGAGAAACCAATGTTTTATACTTGCTGTGATCATTGTTAGAATTTATCTTTTCAGATGTATTCATCTCTGTGACGGGAGAATAGTCTGGAATTGCATAGCTTTATTACTGGAATGTTCTCTTAGGTAAACTTTGACTAAAATACCTAAAGAGAATGTGGGAGGAACATCCAACCCAAAATTTAAAATGAAATCATATTATATTGAGAAGAAAGTCTGCAATGTTCTTATATTGGAATTTATTTTTAGGGATTAGAAAAAGAACAGACAGAAAGAATCCCCAGACTGGATGAATTAAAACAAACTGGACAAATCCTTGTGGAGCAAATGGGAAAAGGTATGGCCTTTGATTTTTTTTTTTCATAATTTTTAGATTATGGCATCTATTTGATTTTCATAATTTTTAGATTATGGCATCTATTTGATACTGGCATCAAATAATATTACAGTTTGACACATTAAATATTTGTTTAACGTTCTCACCCTCTTTTTGTTAGAAAAATGATTTTCAAAATTTTTCTTAGCTAGCAGAATCTTTCAAAAATGGAGTTATTATGTTGAAGTTGATTATGAAAAAGAAAAGCAAAGTTGTTCTGTTTTTATATGGTATTAGGCAACCGGAATCCCCGGTACTTCAGTAGAAAAGTTAAAATTCACTAGTATACAGTGTAGAAGATTGTAAAACCTCATCCTTTGGGGTTATATGTTGGGGGTATTTTTTGCAAGGGGTTACCAAAGAAAACTTTACTGCAACATTTGGGAAATGAAGTTAAACTAAGGTAAATCCATAAAGGGCATTTGATTTTTAATTACTTTCAATGCATTATAGTAATTTACTACAGTTTTCTATAGTTAAATTGGATAAGGTGTTACTTGTATTTGAAATTTTTACCTGCACCAAAGAATTTTTATTTTTATTTTTGCTATAGCTTCCAGTGATCCAGAGCATTTTTAAGATTAATATTCTAGCTACGCAGTTTTGTATACGGTTGTCTTTGTTCTAGCTTTGATAGACTTTTCTTATATTCCCTATTCCTTATTCTAGTAATAGTAAGTGCTTTGGAAGTCTGCTGTAGGTGTCCTTGACAAAAGCCACAGACACCTAAAGCAGAATTAGGAATGTTAGTTTGACAAGAATCTTCAGAACAGTAGCATTAAAGCTTTTTATTTTTTGACTTTATTATGGGAAATGCAACTGTATACAAAGCAAATGGAATGGTATAATGAACTTCCTCGTACCAGTTACCCAGTAATTGATGATGTTCTGTAATCCTTGAACTATCTATCTTTGCTTTTATTCACTCTGCAACTTCTTATTTCTGAAGTAAAATTTACTTACATTGCAAAACACAAAACTTAGCTGTAATATTTTGGTGAATAGATATACCTGTGTAATGTACACAAATCACTCTATGGAGAAATTTCCATCTTTCTAGAAAGTTCTCTACTGTCCCTTTTGGAGCAGTGACCTTCCTCTATTCCCAGAAGATTATTGCTGTTATTTTACTTTTGTATATTCTGTATACACACACATACAGATGTACAGTACACACACGAAATGCAGCATATGACATATATGTGTCATGTATGTTCGTTTATTTTGAAATTATGCAAATGTATTATCGGTTTATATATTACTGAAGGTTAATTTTTCTCTAAATAAAATTAAATATACAGAACAGTATTTTCTTTCAATGTCTACCCTAAATAGAATGTCTTATTCTGTGTGTGGCCACGCCACTTGGAGGTTACTCTTGCAAATATTAAAGAGACACAAACAGACCATGATTTCCTTTGAGATGCTGAGTCTTTAAATAGGTCTAACAAATTAAGTGCTGAATTTATGTGAGTTACGGTTGCAGATTCTTTTTTTTCTATCTCAACGTTGTACCTTGGAACTTTTTATCTGGTGTGAATGTGGGATGACTTCATGAGTCTGCGTTCTGAATTTACCCCCGTTTCTCTGTCAGCTTTTAGGTGATGAGGCAGAATTAGACTAAGTAGAATGACTCTTCCCGTTCACTTCACTGCAGCTCAGGGTCTTGGGTGGAAGTTGGGAGCAGCGATGGGTTATAGTGAGAACAGCAGTGACTGAGGAACGGGTGAACTTGCAGTCTCCGGTTCTTTCCTAGTTTCTTACAACCTTTTTGTTTCTTTGCCTTGTCATCTAGAAAGTGAGGGAGTTTATTAGCTGACTCTGGCCTTTGCTGGATAAAACCTTACTGGGGGTAGGCAGGTCCTAGAAATACATAGGCTGGAAATTGAATTCACCTGAAGTGCTATTCACACAAGACCAAGTACAGCAGCAGGGAGTATGTGATCTGTGGCTTTATCAAGGAATGAATCTTTCCCCTAATGTATACTTGTCCAGCTTAATAGCAAACTTTTTATATGTTATATTACCATTTTTTCCTCAAGCGTTGGTAGAACTACAAATACATTCATTACAGGACCCTAATTCTATTTATTTTAAAAAGTATCATCTGTTTTAGAAGTATTTTTGTATAGGAGTGAGAAGCTGGGAAATGTGGGAACTGAACTGAAAAGGATCTATATGTTTCCGTTCAGTTAGGAAAGCTTAGCAAATTCTTCAGTGAAACAGATTATTTGAACTGTTTTCCTGAAACTAGTTTCATCAAAGAGCCCATTATAGCCAAGCCTGATGGGTCTTTTCCTGCTTCATGCATTTGACGTAAGTTTTGTGTTATCTCGTGGAGCATAAAAAGTTTTCTTAAAAACGAAGTAATTTGTTTCATTTGACATTGTGGTGGAGACCCCTGGCTTTCTTGATTTAGCTTATCTCATTCCTAGAGATCATCAACTAATAAAATAGAGTAGTCGGGCAAGCTGGATAAGGTGGCTTTTTGAATTGATGTCCATTTCCATGGCTAAGTATATAACAGCCTATGAAATTTGATGAAGGTCCTGTGTTTTGTAAACATTTCCCTTGATGCTAACAGTGACATGTTGAAAAGTGCAAAGTCAGGGCAGATGAAGTGCAGGAATACGTCATATTTTGTCCCTTTTAGATAATTAGTACAAGGATGTGATATCAATTTTGGCTTTTAACTAGTTATCTTCTAAGAATGAGATGTTTAATAGACATAGAAAAATTTGTATTTCTGGATCTCTGGGAGCAAAACAATTATCTGTAAACACAATATGCAGTTTTCCTTTTAAAAAATGCAATTGTTTTAAAATCATTACCTGGTATCATTGCAACCAGTGGTATCCTAACCTTAGAGAAGGGAGATAGACATTGTGAGAATTGGTTAGTCATAGATATTGTTAGTGAATAAATACCCAAAGAAGTCTTTTTTTAGCTTCCTTAGTACCTGAAATGAGTATCTCTCAACCAGTTTTCTAGATGAGTACTGATAATTTTCCATCTGGGAAGTTTTATTTGCCTGCTTCATTTCCTTCCTTGCTTAGCATAAATTACCCTGACATAGAGCAGCCTACGCTATTGTTCCTCTGACCACCCAGGATACAAATGACCTGGCAGAAGCAGAGCCTCTATCTCCATTGTTCAGATTGTTAGGAAAATGCTGATTGGCTTTGTTTACCACTCCCATTAACAGGGATAATTGAACATGGCTGATGGTGTGAATGTTTTCCCTAGGTATTACCTCCGGGACAGTGGACAGTGAACTCCAGCTCTTGACATGAGAGATGTTCTCAAATTATGCCATGAAATGTTCACATTTCTAATTTTCAGTGGATACGGGGTGCTATAGAAGTTTTTAAAGTTGCCTTGTCTGTGGATCATAAGTGACCTTTTGTTTTACATGCTGATTTTTTAGTAGGAGCCCTCATTATTCGGATTTTGATTGCATATGTTTACAAAGCAGGATTGTTTTATTGTCCTCCTACCCAAGTAATAAAAATGCGAATGCCCCTCCTTTCAACATGCCTGTGCTCCTCTGAATGGAAAGATTCTTTTGCAGATTTCCTGTACTTTCGCACAGTAATTTCAGAGGATTTGCTATATTAAAGGAAGGACTGTGATAAAACCCATGATATACAGCTTTATCATTTCTGAAAACATTTTCTTTACCTTTCCAAAATAGGAGACAAACAAAATTATGAGATTCCAGAAATAAAAATAATGACATTAAAAAAAATGAGTTTATAAAGTAAATAATATTAGCACTGCCTTGATGTTTTGGTATTTGCTTATCTATGTGACATGCCCAGTGGGCTTGCTGATGCTTCTCGCACCTGCTGCTGGCTTAGCTAAGTTCCTTCTTCACTCAGCAGTGCATTTCTTGACAAAAGGAGTTCTTTCTTGCCATTGTTTTTGCAGGACACACCACACTGTTTGAGGCTGGAGATACTTCCTAGTTTTTCCAGCCAGTTATCCTTTTTTTTCTTATGACAGAGGTCTGTCTTCTGATGTCAGAGCCCCAGACGGATCAGGGCAGTTGATTTCATTTCTTTAGCTCAGATTCCAAGCTAGTGGAGGGGTAACATGCCAAAGATGGAAATAACGCTCTGTAGAAAAGCCAGTGGCTGCAGCTCTGTTGCTGTCCCTTTTGTGACAGCCACACTCTTCTTTAACTGCTCTCCTGATGCCCTCCTTCTTGGGTCAAAGAATCAAAATAAACATAATTATTTTTAAGTGTGTTGTTATAATTTTTGGTTGTGGTGGTCACTTAAGGAAGTGATCATTATAGGTGACATTGCCCCATGATTTCGAATATATTAGAATGTTTAGAACAAATTCAAGACAAATTTTGTAATCTGATATGAAGTGTCTGTTCTGTTTCATGTCTGTATAGAAGGTCTTCCCACTGAAGAAATAAAAACTGTTCTGGAGAAGGTTTTATCCGAATGGAGGAACGTATCTCAGCATTTGCAAGATCTGGCAAGAAAGATCCAGCTCCAGGAAGATATAAATGCTTATTTTAAGCAGCTTGATGAGCTTGAAAAAGTCATAAAGACAAAAGAGGAGTGGGTGAAACACGCTCCCTCTTACCCGTCTCCCCAGCAGTCCTTGACCAGTTTGAAGGATTCCTGTCAGGTAAAGAGCCAACCGTCTGGAAGGTGAAAGAATTTAATGCCCTGTCTCCTATTCAAGGAGGGCGCTTCTCATACAATGAACCTTAAGTGAATTCTGCTCTGATTGACTTTCTGAGAGGGTGTGCGTCTTCAGTGAGTTATGTGACCGTATTTTCTCTTACGTAGCGGGCATTGACAGATCTCCTTGGCATCAACCCCAAAGTTGAAATGGTGCGTGAGAGCTGCTTGGCTCTGAAGTCTCGGCCCTCTGCCCCGGATTTTATCCAGCAAGGCTTTGATAGATTCCTGGGCCAGTATCAGGCTGTGCAACAGGCTATCCAGGCCCATCAGCAACAGCTGGAGAATGGTAAGCCCGTTCCTTTGGTTCTCTTATTTGATGACTTTACTGTCTCCTCTCTTACTTTGCCTTAATTTGACAATTGCTCCCAACAGTTTGACCGTTAGTATACTGGCTTGTTTTGCACCAGACTCACCACTTTCCTCTGTTGCCTGTATTAATTCAAAGTCTGAAAGTAGACTGGATCGAGACTTTTTCCTGATTCACACTTGTTTGTAAAGACACAAACAGCTTTCACATGCACTAGAATTGTGTTAACAGGATATGATTTTTACAGAGTTTTTTTTTTCAAAGGAGAAATGTGCTGTTGTTTCTTCCTTTGACTGAGGAAGTCACTCAGTATGTTATTTGTAGTTGGACTCAAAAGAATGATCCCTCACTTCTGTTTGCTCGAACATGATTAAAGTGTTAGCCATCCCATCACTTCTTTTGAAAGGAAACTATTTTCCTTTTTCAGAATCTGAAAAATTTTAGAGTTCTTAGGTTTGGAATACATTTGGTTTTGGAAAGTTAACTGTTAGAGATTTTGAAAACTCGTCCCTCCCCAGGTGCTGTTCAAGTTAGGAGCTGTGTTGTACTGTGTCCTGGTTTGGGGCCTGCCTACTTGAAAGCTCTGTATGTAACCGCACCTTAACTCCAGCAATTGTCGGTTGTGTAATGGCTTGAAGAATCTGTGTATGTGTGTGCATGTCAGGCAAACGCCTTTGTTCTAGAAAGGCAATTGGGCACCATGTTTTTTGTTTACCGAATCTGGTTAACCTGGAATGGGAAATAAATCTTTAAGGTACCTCTTTCTCAATTTCTGGGCATAAACCAGGCCTTCGTTTTTGACAGCACTCAGTAGGCAGTTTAACTTTTGCTGCCAGTTGGCGTCACCTCTTTGTGCTTTAAGTGAACTGACTTCCTGTCCGTATAAGTGTTGCTTGTACGTGATTTTTGTGGTAGTGACTGGTACAGACACTGTTTCAGCTGGGCTTTCACAGTCCTTCCTACTCAGAGTACCTGTGGCAGCTGGGTGCAGTGTATTTCTGTATGAGGGCCTCCACTCTGTGGGAGGGTTTATCTACATGCTTGAGTTTACAGGAAGCCTGGTTGAGGGTTGAGAGGATCTTTTTATTTTTTTAAATTCCTTTGTAGTTATTGGGGAAGAGGAGATTATATGGGACAAAAGGGACATTGTTCCATCTTCAGAGAGACATTTCATCATGATGAAATGAAGAATAATGATAGTGGGTTAGTTAATATTTCAAATGTCAACATCCGCAGGAATGAAGTCACTGTCTGACTCTCAGAGATGCCAATGGAATGATCTATTTTATTAACTAACAGAGACCCTTTTTAATTTTAATTAGGGGGTCTCACTTACATATTAGAATTCACTTATGATATATAGAAGACAAATGGTACTTAATAACATTAGGTTCTTAGCATTATTTTCTCAAAGTCAATATTTTTAAAATCAGCAGAACTAAAGAGCCAAACTGGGCGTGAATATTTGGAAACATTGAAAATGCTGAAAGATACGTTAAATGATTCAGAAAATAAGGCCCATACATCTCTGAATGTCCTTAATGATCTTGCCAAGGTGGAGAAGGCCCTGCAGGAGAAAAAGGTAATGTAGATTAATATAAGTTAGAGCTCCACTTGTAATATCTCATATGATACAACGGGAGTGTTTTTGCAGAGATTAAAAAAATACATTGGTCCTTTTGGTCAAAATTGTTCCAGAAGTTTCTAATAATTTGAAGGTTAGTTACTGTAAGATCTCAGATAAAGGAAAAGATAGTTGTTAAATATTTTTAACAGAATGAAAGCATATTTTCTCCTATTGGATTTAGCCTGAAATTCTCAAGCTGTTCGTAATCTGCTAAGATATCTTTAATAAAATGAGGAATATCTGTTGAATTGATGTGTGATTTTTTTTTTAATGTTGAAAAAAAATGTTTCCCTGATCATTTAGCTGAGTATCCTATGGTTCTGTACTATTTTATTAGATAAAAAAGACCAGCTGCTGGGCACTGTGCACTCTGCCCACGCTGCCTGTGTCGTTCTAGGGGGTTTTGGTGTTGAGAATACATTCTGTTGCCCACACAGAACAACTCCAAGAAAATGCTTTTACTTTTTTTTTTTTTGGTTATGCCTGTGTTTTTCATGAGCTTTTCACAATTGTTTTTGATAAAAATGCTTTTTAATGCTTTTCAAAGAGACTTTCGACTTTATATAGCCCCCATTATTATCTCTCTGCAGACACATTGTTGTGCCTGTTTTTAATCTTCTATAACTTTTTTCCAGACCCTTGATGAAATCCTTGAGAATCAAAAGCCTACATTATGTAAACTTGCAGAACAAACAAAGGCTTTGGAGAAAAACCTTCCTCCTGATGTAGCAAAGACATACAAGCAAGAATTTGATGATGTCCATGGAAAGTGGAGCACACTGAAGGGCCTGGTTTCCAAGGAGCTACATGTGCTTGAAGAAATTACTCCCAAACTCAGAACATTTGAGGTAAATCCAGAGGCCACTGGGAGTTTACGTTTATTATAGGGTAAATAGCAATTACCAGGAAAGATTCAAATATCTATTACTTGAGTATTTTACATTCTTTCTAGCCCCATATTTATTATGTACTTCAGCTGGCTTTTATCAAAGACATATTTTTAATGTGCTGGAGAACACTTGTATTTCTTTTGCCTTACAGAAAACGCTTCTTGGTCGAAGTAAACGGGACCTTGAAGATAGGAGAAAATTGCTTAAGAATGGTCAAAATAATATCTCAGGCAGGTTGCAAGGGACGCCCGTGTGACGTGTGGACTGGTCTTTAGATTGTAGAGGGAACTTGATTGGAGTGGTAGAAGGATCCCAGGTAGTAGCAGGAGCCAAGTTTGTGAACTTGTTTTTCTCCTTTTGTTCGTTTTTTTAAGGTTTTTGGCATTTGAAGTTAAAAATCTGAACTAGGCTATTGAAAAACAGTGTCAGATTGGAAAAAGCAAGTAGTTTCAGGGACACAAAAGTTCAGAGGCAGGATCCGTTGCTACATCTGACAATGCTGACGGATGAAGGGATGATAAAGGCCGAGAGGGAAGGGTAACTGTGAGGATGTAGAAGGGGAGAGTCAGTGTCAGATGAGACAGTGGGCATCGTAACATTTGCCTACGAGAAAGATGGAAGTGGAGTTTCCAGATCCACCTGGTTTTCTGATAGTACAGATCTGGATAGACACCGAACCAGTCACACACTCTGCCCACCGAGGCTCCCTATCCTCCCACCACCTCTCTACCTTGGGCTTTTTTCTTCTTTTCCATTAGTTAGGGATCTTTTCTTTTCTTTAAATGAATAGATCTCATGATGCAATCTATAACAGTGCCTGGCACAGAAAAGGCACAACATAAATATTTTTTAATGAATGAAATGAGATGATTAAGAGAAGGTTTAGATTTAGAGATAGATTATATGTATAGGGTATCCTTAAACTTTTTGTGCAATTTACAGTGTAAAACTATTTTAAATTGCACATGAACTTTGTGTGTGTGTGTATACATATGTACATATTTGAGAGAGATACGTATTTTTGACAGATATATGTCAAATATATTTATATCAATTTAAATATAAAATACATAATATATTTAAATATAAAAACACAAGAATATATACATATTTAAATATATAAGTATAATTAATATATAAACATATACATATATGTGTGTGTGTATGTTTGGATTCAGAGAAATGTCTAAGGAACATTGACAATAAAAGGCAAAGATTGAAAATGAAGGTGAAACTTATGAAAATGTGAGTTTTTGACATTGAAGTCAGAGAACAGTGGTAGAAGAGGGCTGGAAGACTGTCCAGCTCCACGTGGAGGGGCTCCAGCCAGATTCCAGGAGTGGTGACCAATGAATTTGGAGGGACCTTCAATTAACTCAGGAATTAAAGGACAGTTCCAATGACCAGCAGGAGAATACAGAGGGAGGGGTTGTGTGTATGTACGAGTATGTGGTGGTAGTGGCCGGAGGTAAGTGTGAGTGCAGTTCTAGACTGGGATTTCACTGGAATAAATAAGCAGAAAGAGTGATGTGTTCTGTGTGGCTCAGAATTTTTTATGCGTGTAACTGCGTGACAATATACCCTTCTCCTTGGAAATTGCCATTTGTAATTGTTTAAAAATGCAAATTACCCTTTTCCATGATTCTAAAATTCAAGCATTGGATTATCAGTGGTTCTCAACCCTCCAGAGGACACTTGTTAATGTCTGGAGACAGTTTTGGTTGTCCCAGTTGTGGGGGAGGATAGACAGTGAGTAGAGACTCGCCATGCAGCTACACACCCTACAGTGCATAAGATGACCCCCCAAACAAAGGAACTATCTGTCCCCAGATGTCATCAGCGAGAAAGCGGAGCTCATCTTTTCAAAATAGCATCCCTTTGTTTTCAAATTTAAATTCGAGATGTACTGGGGAAAATTTACAAATGAAGATTAACTTCAAGGTTTATCTTTAGACTCTGAAAAGTGTATTTTAGGGTTAGCTAAATGTGTGCCAACATTTTAATATGGAATTTAAAGAGAATAAATATTCTTCCAAAACATAGAAGAGAGTCTTGTGGTTATAGTAACCCAGCGTTAGGCTTCAGTGGGTTGTTTACTAATATTGGGATAGGTTGCTTGATGTTGTTCCTAATCAGGCACAACAATTAAAGTGGTGGAGTGTGTGCAGATATTTATCTCCATTAAAAACATCCCACATCAGCCGTGTGTGTTTGGTAGTAAGGTTTATTTTGGGGCAATTGCAATAGCAGATTTGTAATCTTCAGTTTTTTTAAAATTTGCTTTTGTGTGTGCTAACTATAAGATTGTTGACGACATCTGTTATTTTTTAATTGTGCAACTTATTTGTTGAAACACACACAGGGTACCAAAAAAATCTCTACACATTTTTTTTTTCTTGAGACAGAGTCCCACTATGTCACCCTGGTAGAGTGCTGTAGTATCACAGCTAACAGCAACCTCCAACTCTTGGGCTTAAGCGATTCTCTTGCCTCAGCCTCTCACGTAGCTGGGACTACAGGCTCCCGCTATAATGCCCTGCTAGTTTTTGGTTGTAGTTGTCACTGTTGTTTGGCAGGCCCGGGCTGGATTTGAACCTGCCAGCCCTGGTGTATGTGGCTGACTTCCTAGCTGCTGGACTACAGGTGCCAAGCCAAAATGTATGCACATTTTAATAAAAGAAAAAACTGCATTGTATTTTTTATACTCAGGTCACTTTTGACTTTTGCATTTACAAGGGATACAAGATACAATATACAAGGTAACAAATATTATTGGCATATACTGAGCATTACAATTTTAATATTTTTTTCCTTTCTTAAAATGCATATACTTTTTTTGCACTCTCTGCAAATATATATATGTATATGTATGTGTATTTCAATAGATTTTGGAAGTACAGATGGCTTTTTTGTGACATGGATAAGTTGTGTAGTATTAAAGTCAGGGCTTTCAGTGTACTCATCCCTAAATAGTGTACATTGTACTCAATAGATAGCTTTTGCTCCCTCTTGCTCCCCCGGCTCCTTTGCTGGGTCTCCAAGTCCTTTATACCACTCTGTATGACCTGTTGTTCAGCTCCTACTTACAAGTGAGTACATGCAATATTTGTTTTTCCATTCCTGAGATACCTCGCTTTGGATAATGGTCTCCTGCTCTAGCCAAGTTTCTGTGGAAGATGTTATTTCATTCTTCTTTAGGGCCGAGTAATACTCCATGGTATATATAATATATGCCACATTTTCTTTATTCACTCAATAATTGATGAGCAACTAGGTTGATTCTGCATCTTTGTAAATTTGAGTTGTGCTGCAAAAAACATAAAAGTGCACTTGTCTTTCTGATCTCTTACTCCTTTGTTTGCTTCTAAGCAATTGCTTGTTATTTCAGTACTTACAATACACTTGGGAAAACTTTAAAAATTTCCCCCAAAGTTATTAGATAATTACAACAAATATTCATTAGCAGGTTAGCATTGTTTTCCCTTTTCAAATGACCTGATATTTTAGGCATTTAAATTCTATTTGCCTTTAAGGTATGAGGCACAGTAGTTTTTAGATTCAATGCCAATTTATAATATTTCTTAGGAACAAAAATAATTGGCTTGTTTATTTTTAAAATGCATTTTTATTATGTAAGTAATACATGAAGAATGCACATTGTGAAGACATAGCACAAAACTATGTAAAGAGAACATATAAGAGTTCCAATCTTCCCCAATACCATTTTTGGCCCCTGGAGGCAGCTAATATTAACAATGGATCCTGGCTGGAGGTTAATGTATTCAAATTAAAAAAGAAGAGTCCAGGAATGCTGCTAATTCTAACAATTTTTTCCCCACAGTATAGAAACAAATGATATTGGGAAGCCATGAGAGGCATTGAAATAGCTAGCACACCACAGAGCTTGGAGTGCGAATCCCACTATTGAAAATAATAATAATAGTAATTAATGCTTTTCATTGACACAGGTGATTTAAACTTGGAAAGTATTTTTATGGTTGTATACTTGTTTTCAAAATAATAATTGTCAAATGCTCTTGTTTGTGTGCAAAGTTAAAAAGATGATTTTCATTATCATGGGCACATAATAATTGTAGATCTTTATAGAGTATAGGCATACAATGTGTATTAATCAAATCATGGTAATTGCAAGTAACCATCACCTGAGGCATTTAGCATTTGTTTTAGGTACATTTCAATTCCACTCTTTTAGTTATTTTAAAGTATACCCTAACTTAATGTTGACTATAGTTACCCTGTTGTACTATCATATATTGTTTATTCTATTTACCATGCAATACTTTTTCCCCCATTACCAGTCCCCACTTTATCCCTCAACTTGTTGCTGTCCTTCCCAGACTCTGGTCACCATCTTTCTGCTCTGTCTCCATGAGATCAATTGTTTTTGATATTTAGCTCCAAGATATGAATGAGAACATGAGAGATTTGTCTTCCTGTACGTGGCATATTTTACTTAACATAATGTTCTTCAGTTCTGTCCATGTGATTGCAAATAGCAGGATTCCATTCTTTTTTTTTTTTTTTTTTTGCAGTTTTTGGCCAGGGCTGGATTTGAACCTGCCACCTCTGTTATGGGGCCAGTGCCCTACTCCTTTGAGCCACAGACACGGCCCTGATTTCATTCTTTTTTACGACTATGTAATATTCTATTGCACATATGTCCCACAAACTTTTTGTCCATTGATCTGTTCATATGGACACATAGGCTAATTCCAAATCTTGGTTATTGTGAACAGTGCTGCAGTAAACGTGGGAGTGAAGATATCTTTTCAATATCCTGAATTCCCTTCTTTTGGATACATACCCAATTGCTGGGTCACATGGTCATTTTATTTTTAGTTTTTGAAGGAACCTCTGTACTGTTCTCTGTAGTGGTTGCACTCTTTTACATTCCCACCAACAGTGCACAAGGGTTCCCCTCTTTCCACAACCAAATATCCTTAGCATTCATTATTATTCATTTTTTTTATAAAAGCCATTTTAACGGGGATGTGATGATATCTCTTTATAGTTTTGATTTGTATTTCTCTGATGACTAATGATGCTGAGCATTCTTTCATCTATCTGTTGGCCATTTGAATGCCTTCTTTTGAGAAATGTCTAATCAGATCCACTGCTTATTTTTAAATCAGATGATTGAATTTGTTTTTTTTTCTTATTGAATTTTCAGGGCCTCTAATATAGGGTGGCCATAAAATTTATGTGTAATTTAAAAATAGTCAACTATTTTAAATTGCACATGAACTTTATGGCCACCCTGTATATTCCAGTTATTATACCTTGTCAGATGAGTAGTCTGCAAATATTTTCTCCCATTTTGTGTGTTGTCTTTTCATTCTGTTGATGGTTTCCTTTGCTATGATCTCATTTGTTCAATTTTGCTGTGGTTGCCTGTGCTTTGGGGGTATCACTCAAGAAGGCCTTGCCCAGACTGATGTCAGAAGTATTTCCCTATTGTTTTCATTTAGTAATTTCACAGTTTTAAGACTTAGATTTAAGTCTTCCTCCACGGTGATATGATTTTTGTATATGGCGAGAGATAAGGTCCAGCTTCATTCTTCCGCATAGGGATATCCAGTTTTTGAATCTTTAACAGCAAGATCATTGCTGTTATTCCTATTTTACAGATGAACTACTGAGGCTCAAAGAATAGAAATTAGTTTACTAGTAAGGTGCTGAGCTTCACAGTTCGACCTTAGTCTTTGTTTTGGCACATTGCCACTCTCAGAACTTGGCATGGTCGGGATTCCATGCAGGGATTTTCGTAGTGAACACAGCAGGGCTTCTTGGGTTCTGGTGTGTTCGGGTGTGTTCCTTTTGTGGGATGATCAGTTGGTCTACGTGGCTGTCTGTGTTGCTCTCCTCCTCCTTCCTTCTCACGTCACAGTATAAGAGTGAGAGACGGGGCAGGCACGTATAAATTATCTGTGCCCACGTGGGCCTGGGTTTATCTTAGAGAGGGAGTGAAAGAGGAAGGCAGGCGTTGAGGCCATAAAACTTCCTCTCATATTCCAGTGACTGGAGTAGTTAAGGCCTTTTTTTTTTTTTTTCAATAAGAGCTCACTGTAGTTAAAACCTCCTTGGAATATAATGCTTCCATATAAATTTTGAAAATCCATGGCTCAGGAGACTATCAGTTTTCCTTATTCAAAACCAAGCTAATGAATTTCCCAGTGATACAGCAGTAATGCATTCTTAATAAGCTCTGAATGGAGATTAACAGCGCAACTGTCTGTGCTGAGAAGTTAAATGGACTAGTTTTAAAGATCGTATTTTACGAACTCTGCATTGCTGTCTTTTTTGGATGCCCCACCTGACCCTTCCCTGAGCTTTTCTTCCCACGAAGTCATCTCTAATTTGATCTTAGCATGCTGGAGCAAACACAGAAGAGGCCTGTAAGTGGCTGAGTATACCTGAGAGTGGCGTGAGCATGCGTGGAAGGTGACAGATGGGCTGAAAGCAGAGGGAGAGGGAGCTCGAGGAAGGACCTTCCACTCTCTGCTTGAAATAAAGAGGTTGTGGAAGGGCTCGGATGGGAGGGTGCACAGTATGAATAGAGGACACAGAAAAGCCTGGCTCCGTTAGTACTTTTTGCTTCTCATCGTCATCAGAGAATGGCCCTCAACACGAGAAAGGGTGGGAAAGTGGTTATGGAGAACGCCTTAGAGACTGATCTGTGATGCACGCGGAAAACCACTCAGCCCCTCCTGATGCGTAAACTCGCATCCCAAACAACAGCACGATTTTTATCCTTAATCTCAGGGTCACTGCATGATCTTGGGAGAAATTACTAGAAAAATGGAGGTGGACAAGTGTCCTAATTAAGAAGAAGTCTTAGTTTCTAGATGCCAAGACCTACAGTAAGTTTGACGTCAGTTCCTGGCAAAGCTGTGGGATAATGACCAACCAGAGGCCTTCTGGGTGCTTAGGAGAGAATGTGGTGGCCACCAGGAATCAGCATGGACACCACTAGTGAGCCTTGCCCAGACTCATTTCCTTTCAGTGCTGCTTCCTTTTATTTATTTATTTTTATTTTTCTGGAGGGAGGAATACTAGATTATTAGATACACACGATGTTAGAATCTCACATTTGAAGATTCAGCCTCGTGTAGTTCAAATAATGCTCACAAATTATCATTCTTGGCAAGCCTTGATTTCACCAAAGTATTGGTGATCATCTCTTGCAATCTTCTAAGAAGAAAGAGGAAAATTAGGTAGATGCTACTGTTACGGAGATTGGTGTATTTTGAAAACTAAGCCAAAAGTTTGTCCAGTAATCAATGCCATGGTGTCCTTATGGGTAAATGCCGGGGTAGGCCCTGTTACTGTCTTCATTTTTCACTCAACACCTGTAACAACAAAAGTAGAAAAAGGAGGCTCGGCGCCTGTGGCTCAAGTGGCTAAGGTGCCAGCCACATACACCTAAGGTGGCGGGTTCAAATCCAGCCCAGGCCCACCAAACAACAATAATGGCTGCAAACAAAAAATAGCTGGGCGTTGTGGCGGACACCTGTGGTCTCAGCTACTTGGGAGGCTGAGGCAGGAGACTCGCTTGAGCCCAGGAGTTGGAGATTGCTGTGAGCAATGAAGCCATGGCACTCTACCTAGGGGGATAGCTTGAGGCTCTGTCTCAAAAAAAAAAAGTAGAAAAAGGACAACCCTCTGTCAGATTCATAGAGAGATAGCTGGGAGGAGGAGCTGATGGGACAGTTAAAAGACTAAAAATTCAAAATATTTTGTGAGCTTGTTATTATGCTTTTAAATATGATTGTTAACATAACAAGGCAAAATTTTATATTTGTAATTATCAAGTTCTTAATTTATTACAGATGTCAATTAAACATATAAGAAAGGGAAATGTATCTTAAGGTAGTTATTGGGAATATTGGAGGGTTGGCTCAATGTATATTGTGAATAAATTATCTATAAACAAATAACAAAACAAAAGAAATAAAGAACTCTACAATAAGAAAAATAGAAATAAAAATATTTCACACGCATTTTTAGGAGTATACTATCCATATGTTAATTTCTGTCGTGGTGATTCATTCCAGTATTGTTAAGCATAAAAATAGTTGGCTTTAGTGGCATTTTAAGGACATTAGAAAATTGATGTAGTTTCCAGAGCATGTTGATACAGTGGTGTGTGCACTACCCAGTATCAGGTCCTGAGGACATCAGAGGAAGAACTGGGAATGTTGAATCAACAGAAGACTAGAGAAAAATATGTCAGCTGTCTGCTAATCTGAAGGGCTTTTTTGAACAGAGAAGCAAATTTGTCTCTTCCTAGGAATGAACAAAAAGCAAAGCATTGAAGAAGCAAAAGCAATTTCAGCTCAGTACTAGGGAAATTAACAAGTGAGTCTATTTAATGATAGAAAGGGAGTGAGTTCTTGGAAAGAAACGACCATCACTGTAGTACTGGAAATCAAGTTGCATCTGTTTATTTACATGTGTGTTCTTTCAGGCTCGTTTTCAGTGTTACCCCATCTGAAGTCTCCATCTGCAAAATGTTTGTTTCCTCATTGTCTCAGCACCATAGACAATAACTGTATTGCAGTGGATGGTTAATAAATGTTGGACTGTCTTGGGGTCTCGGATAACAAGGCATCCAACAGCTGATCTAAGAACAATATTGTATTCCATTCCCTGTGCTATTTGTTCATTCCTGCCCCCGAGGAGCTAACGTTAGAAGATTTTTTTCTAAGTTATGTGTGAGGAAAAGATATTGTAGCTGATTGTACCTAGAAAAACTTTTTTTCCCTTATAATTTGAATTATTAAGCAAAGAGGTTGCTTGCATTTGGGCTTGATGTAGCTTGGCTCACTGGAAAGTGTTTTGAAAGTTTTTGAATGCTTACTGAGCTGTTGTCTCTTGAGGATTTTAGCCCAGAATGAAGAAAATAATTATTTTCAGAGTTGGAAGGTTTAGAAAATGAAATAAAATAAATGAAACTGATATTATCAATGTATTGAAAACTTGCCCTTTCTCCCCAGTAGCGGTAGATCTTGAGATGTAACTGTTGAATGTCACTGAATAATATCCCCCTCTGTTACTGTGTTTAATTTAGGCTGATTCCAAAGCTGTTGAGAAGTGGACGGATGGTGTGAAAGACTTCTTAATGAAAGAGCCGGCTGCCCAAGGAGACGCCACAGGTTTACAGAGGCAGCTAGACCAATGCTCTGTGAGTTCTGCTGATCTGAGGCATCTGTTGTAATAAATAACATTTTCTTCTTTTTCTTTGTTATTTGCTGCTATTATTAAAATTGTAAGAATATGACATGGAATTAAACCTAGATAAAATATCTTTCATCCTTTTATGACTTTATAGCTAATAAAAGACTGACAGAGTGTTCATATTTTTATGTCTGGCTGTAGTTGTTATGGCATTTTTGGATGGGTTAACAAGAGAATAGCTCCTTGGAAGCCAGTTGTATATTGCTTTTCTTGTGCCACATAGTGAGGATTTAAGAGAAACATATTTAACAACAATTGCTGGTTATTCTGAGTGTAATTTATATTTGATGAAATCATCAGGCTTCTCTAAATTAATTAAAAGACTATTCCCTACTGAGAGTCAAGTATTTCCAATCTCATTTGGCAGATGGCTGTATGAGGCACCCAGGTGAAAGAAATTTCTTAAGGCACGATAGATCTGAAGTAGTTAAATATCCTGACTCTTAAACCAGAATCTGCTTTTATAATATTTACAGGGATGCAAGCAGGCAGGCTAGAATTATGGCATCCACTTATGTAGCAATGAACTCAACATGGGCGTATTTTATGTGTTCAGGCCTTTGTCAATGAAGTAGAAACTGTTGAATCATCTCTGAAAAACATGAAAGAAATAGAGACTAACCTTCGAAGTTGTCCAGTTGCTGGAATCAAAGCGTGGGTGCACACGAGACTAGCTGACTATCAGACCCAACTGGAGAAGTTTAGCAAGGAGGTGAGTTTTTCAGTCATACTGTCTGTGGTTTTCAAGAGGTGTAGGCTGTGGCTTCTCTTGAGTGACTAAAGAAATTTTATGACCCATGCAGTTTGAAAACCTGATCTAACAATTACAGCATGTGTACAAATTAGGCCAAGAAAGGTATTTTTTTTTTATTTTAATTAAGGGAATATACTGATTGTCCAATTTGGCCTGGGACTCACTTTTTTTCCCCTTGTGTTAAATCCAGCTTAACACACACATTTATGTTATGTTATTTGCTTTACTCCTAAAACATTTGAGTATGTGACTCAATAGTTACAGCTTTCATCATTTATTTAATGAGCACATATTTATTCACCAGCTGCCTTATCTCAGGCATCATTCTAGACACTGGATACCCAGCATCGAACAAGGAAAAATAAACTCCCCATTAGGAGCTTGAATTATAGTGAGGTAGATGGAAAATGAATAATAATACGAGGTAGGACTAGCAAGGGGTTAGGGTAAGGCGGGTTATTTCTAAGAGGGTGATCAGGGAAGGACGTTTGGGGACTGGGACATTTCATAGAGAACTGAGTAAAGTAAAGGAAGCCATGTGAGGTTTGGGGAAGAACATCTATGCATGGCGAAAGGGAAATTTTAAATCTCAGTGGTCAGAATGAGCTTTCCGTGTTCACTAAAGAATGAGGACAGTGTAGCTGGAATACCGGGCATTCCCAAAGTCCTCTCACATAGGAAAAATGGGAAATTGTAGCTAGATGGACATTTATCTACAAAGTATTCATTACAAAATTTTACAAAGAGGTGGCCAACCCATAGAGAACATATTGCAAAATTTCGTAGCGCAGAGAGGAGTTAGTGGATTGTAGAATAGGAATATATGATGTTGAAGGTCGACAGGATGGATTAGACATGGCCTTGCAGGCAAAGTCTTTGGATTTTGTTTCAGGTATGATATTACACAGAAAGCAATTTGAGGGTTTTGAGCAGGGGAGTGACATGTGAGAGCGATCATAGAAGATCTCATTGGCTTTCCTGTGGATAATTTGCTCTGGAAAGGCTAGAATGAAAGCAAGAAAAACACTTAGGAGGTTATTATAGTCTTGGAGAGAGCAGATGGCCCTTGACACTAGGAAGGTAATGATGGAGGTCATCAAAAATGCTGGGTTTGGACTCTATTTTGAAAACAGGGGACCCAAGTGAAGAATTAGATGTGTAATAGAAGAAAAGTGAATGATCAAGGGCAGCTTGGGATTTTTGCAAAGCTGCCACTTTGTGTGAATCGTGGTACTCTTTAATGAAGACTCGGGGAGGAGGAGCTTGTGTGGGTACAGGTGGAATGACGATCTCTATTCTGGAAGCGTTAAATGTGAGATGCTAGATGCTAAGAAGGAAAGGTCATCAAGAGGGGAGACACTTGGGGGTCCCAGAGGCCAGTGCAGGAAGCTCATTGTGTCCAGTGCTGATCACTGCTGAGGCCAATCAGAATTGAAAATCAAGCTTAAAATCTGATATGATGAAAAGGCAGAGACTTTTCTTGATGTTGAGAAAAGTGAGTGCCATGGAGTAGTGGAGAAGAAAGTCACAATGGAGAATGTTGAACAGGTGAGTGAGGAACTGGAACAAGTAGGATTCACTTGGAGAAATTTCTCTATTTAGGGGAGCAGGGAGATGGATGTGTGCCGGAGATGGGGAACCAAAGAGGTGTTTAGGTTCTTTTCAAGAATGAGAGATAATATAGGATGTTTGCATGCTGAAGAGGAGGGCCTCGCTTAGAAAAAGAAAGAAAGGATGCAGAAGGGATTGCGATTAGAGTGTTTCCCAGGCAAGGTCTGCGATCGATCGTGCGGCAGAGGTGAGGTGAGGTGAGGACACTGCTGTGAGCTCGTCCTCCGGGGTGGTGGGCAGGAGGGACCCACATGCGGCAGCAGGACTGGGAGGAAGTTCTCTCCTGATTGCTCTCATTTCCTCAGTGATGTAACAACGGTGACATTTGCATCACTGCAGTGCCTGACACAGGGATAAAAACAGGAGAGAACGTGAAACAGGCGTGGTGCACAGTCCTGTGGATACGACAGGTTTCTTAATCTGGTGCTTTGGGCTGATGTTTATTTAGGAAAAACTTATATTTGCATAACTGAATATCTTGTTTTTGTTGTTTTACCCCAACATCCTTATTTCAGACGTACTTGAATGTAAAGAAAAGTTGAAATAGTAATACAAAGGACACCTACCTACCTATTCAGAGACTTGCTAGGGTCCCTATTTGCTTTTTCTTCCTCTGCCCCTCTTTTTACACACATGCACACATACACACATTTTACTTTTTGCTAGAAAGGTACTTTTGACAGGAAGTTGAAAACATCATAAAATTTCACCCCTAAATAGTCCAGCATGCTTCTCCTGTGAGTAAGGGACGTTCTTCTACAAAACCACACTACCATTATTGCATTACCAAGAAACTGATCATTTTATACAATCATCTAATGTCCTAGCCAAATGTACACTTTTCTGGATGTGCTATAAACTGATGGATATACCTGAGGAAACTGGGGTTTTGGGGGGAGTAAAGAGGGAAATGGTTTGGAAGTGGCTTGGAAGAACTAGGAAGGCAATAACTAGAAGCCTGTGTCTGTATCCATCTGTCTCCCTGTCTGTGTCCATCCGTCCGTTCATCTATCCTAAATATATATAGGACTTTTTTTTTTTTTTTTTTTTTTTGGAGACAGAGTCTCACTTTATCACCCTCAGGAGAGTGCTGTGGTATCGCAGCTCATAGCAACCTCCAACTCCTGGTCTTAGGAGATTCTCTTGCCTCAGCCTCCTGAGTAGCTGGGACTACAGGTGCCTGCCACAATGCTCAGCTATTTGTCTCAGTTTGGCTGGGGCTGGGCTTGAACCCAGCACCCTCAGTGTATGGGGCCAGCACCCTACCCACTGAGCCACAGGCGCCGCCCTATAGAGGACATTTTTAAGCACCCTCAGCAAGGAGGTAACTGCATATTGGGTGAATAATTATCTCTAGAGCAATTTTAGACTCTTGTATTTCATGGACTATTAAAAACATTGGAGTGGTTTTGGACAAACAACATTACCAAATTTTTATTTTGCTAAGAAAGAACAGAGATATAAAACACATCAGTAAACAAGAAGAGTTTGTTTCCCCTATTATATCCGTGCTATCACGAAAGAAAGAACATTTTAGTGCCTCCAAAATAGAAGGCATATCATTTCAGGGTAATTAATTATAATTTCGAGGGTTTTTTTTTTTTTTTGAGACAGAGCCTCAAGCTGTCCCCCTGGGTAGAGTCCCGTGGCATTACAGCTCACAGCAACCTCCAACTCCTGGGCTCAAGCGAGTCTCCTGCCTCCGCCTCCCAAGTAGCTGG